TTGAATTAAAAAATATTTAATTTTTATATAAATTCGAAATTCTAAAAAAATTCGGTTAATTTGAAAATTAACCGAACTTTATTCGGTTCGGTTAATATTTTCGAAAAAAAGTTCGGTTCGGTTAACGGTTAAAGAAAAAAAAAGTTCGGTTAATTCGCCTAATGGTAGTTCGGTCGGTTCGGCTACCGAATTAACCGAATGAACAACCCTAGCTCCAGGTCACCAATAATACTCCTTGCACGCTTCAATGCTTCCCTTGAAATAGATAATGACCTTCCACCTACAGTATAAAACAAAAAAGATAGTTACCTGCAATATAAAACAAAAAAAGAGCTCGATTCATCAATTTCACGATCATCTTGGTAAATATACTAAATGATTTTAGTAACCTATGCTATTTGGTTTTTATAAAAACAGAGAAACCATTATCGATAAAAGTTCAATTCCTACATATTCCATATTTCTAATTCAGCTGCAAATTTTGAGATATAAAATAAAAAATAAATCACATATGTTTCTTTTCTAAATTGCAAAAAGGTTTTAGTTATTAAAAAATTAAAGTAAAAAAGAGAAGCATTTACTTGGAGTAACAGTAGAGGCAGTGTCGTTTTCATCGAGGATAGATAATGCTTGTGCAATTGAAGATTCTTTCAACGCTACAGATTTCCCCAATTCAATTATAAGCATTGGGTATTTATCTACTCTTCTACCATCGTTCTCAATAAGCTTCGAACATTCTGCGTAGGATCTATGAAATTTGAGATCACAAAATAAAAATATAGAGGTGAAAAGATTCAGAGATTATTACCTTGAAGCAAGAGATCGTTCATGGAAGGGAGTGGAGGAATCGGAGCTCCGTTCGGGTCGTCATCGGGTTTTGACGGCAGGAACGGACTGGAAGCCTCCTAGTGATAATATGATTCGGCGTTAGAGAAAATCTACCACGTGAACGTTCTGATGATATTGCTTAGGGATTGATTTCTTTTTATTGTGTCCATGCATATAAAAGTGAGTTTTAGCACTAATTCTTTTTACTCTGTGCATGACTCACTAATTCAGTTTCATTCACAACTCATAAATTAAAACCAGAAGCAGACCATGAAACTAGTTTACAGTCAACATGAAAATACTTGTCTAAATTCTGCATTGTCCATTAAAGCTAGTTATGGCTAGGTTTACAGTCAACATGCAAACGCTTGTCCAGAAACAGAAATAGACCATGAAGCTAGTTTACAATACAATCAATCGTGGGTTTACATTATGTCTCATTCATAAACATACGTGTAACATTTAGTATCTATTATTATTAGTTTTCTCTAAGTGATTAATTTGATTAATTAATTATATTCAGAATAGATTTGCCGATTAACTAAATTTTAAAAAAAAATCTTTAATCAACCCCGATCACTAATCGATTTATCAAACTAATTCAAATTGTGCACAACTGTCATTACTATTCTATGAAAGAATGAAGGTATTGATTATTCAAAAATCAAACTTGAAACTAATTATAGCTTTAATTGATGATATTAGAACAAGTCTTGTGCACATTACTTCATATTAGTTCTGTATCGAGTTAAAAGAAGGGAAACTGTGTTTCCTTTGTCTAGACCATGAAATGCGCTTAATTCATAGGTTAAATCGATAGCGAAAACCAGCATTTCTTTTCCAAGATTAGAGGAATCAGAAAAGTTCGACCACTACAATAGAAGCCAAATCCTTTGACTAAACCTTGTTTTGTTCACTCTCTTAACGCAACAACCATCCCACGAATTTACAATCAAAGCTCTTTACTTTTGAATAATAGGAAACAAACGCAAAACTCCCAAGTTCAACAAACAGAAAAACTCCAGCAAGCAACAACAAGATTTAATTTCAAATCAGAATCCAATGAGTTTTTATGAAGCAAACATAGTATTCTTCTTAGGGTTTTTAGTAACATGGATGCCATGAGAAGAGATTAAAAATGTACCTGGATTTTGAGCCTTTAGGAGCGACTGACAGTGTGATGGTGGTGACTGGCGGTGTGACAGTGGTGACTAGAGTGCCAATTTGACGAAGATGCTCGCTGAGGATGGAGGAAGAAAGGTTTAGGAAGAAACAAATTAGGAATAGGGGGAGGGGAGAGGGGATTTATGCATCCAAGACGACGTTTTAATAACAAATGCCACTAAAAATACGACTCTATTGTGGTATTTTAATAACAAACTCCACTAACGTGTGCTTCTACTGTGATGTTTCAACAACAAACGCCACTAACATGCGCCTATATTGCGGCATTTTAATAATAAACGCCACTAAGGTACGAATCTATTGTGGCGTTTTAGTAACAAACGCCACTAAGGTTCACCTCTATTGTGGTGTTTTTATAACAGATGCCACTAAGGTACGGCTCTGTAGTGCCGTTTTAGTGACAAACGCCACTAAGGTTCTCCTCTATTGCAGCGTTTCAGCAACAAAGTCACTAAGGTGCCTCTATTGTGGCGTTTTTATAACAAACATCTATAGCGGCATTTTAATGACAAACGTCGCTAATTTTGATATTCAATGGCGTTTTTTATAAGAACGCCGCTATATGTGAAATCTTACTGGCGTTTGTATTATAAACGCTGCGAAAAGCGCCATTATAGATACATTCTGCTGTAGTGTGCTTTGTTGAATCCCTCGATTATTAAAACTTAGAAAATGGTCACCCGACTGTTCATTATGTTCCAAACTTGTCCTTTTCCGTTAAAAAATGGAAGATATTTTGAGCTGAACGTTAACTTGTTGACTGTGATATGATAAAATTTAATCTCAAAATCTCAAACGGCTATCAAATCTCAGTCATCATGTTAACTTCTTGTTTAAACAACCGTCAATTTTTTTAACGAAAAATGACGAGTATGGAACACAATGAATAACCGAATGATCATTTTGTAACTTTTAATGGGTGAGCGACTCAACAAAGCAGTCCTCCATAATTGAGGGATCATTTTGTAACTTATAATTATCAATGGACTTAATAAAGCAACACCGTATAGTCGGGAGACTATTTGCCTTCTTTACCCTATTTTTTAGCTTGACGGTGCATGACGATTTTAGTTTTTTTAAGTGTTATTGATTTTTTATATTCAATTGAACTCTTAAATTGAAAAATCAAATCATTTAAGTTGTTAAATTAAGAAATCAAATCAATTAAATATTTTAACTACTTTTTATCTTAATAATTTCTTCTTAAAATATTACTATGATGTGGTACATCGTGATGTCATATATTATATCAACATTGTATTTAAAAGTAAGGTAAGTATAAGTTAAAGAATTACTTGATAAAATTTTAAAACAAAAGACTTATTTAAAAATATAACAACTTCATTAATTCTTTTTAGAAGCTTGAGGACTTTTGAGCCAATTTCTTATCTTCTAATTTGCTTTTCTGGCAACGTGGAGGGTAAATTAAGACTTGAGATTAAGTAAGTTTCCTTTTGACGTGACTTTTTAAAGGTGTTTTTAGGTGAAAACTTCTACCGCAAAATTAATATTTTTTGATTCAATAAATTATTGCTTAATAATTTATATTAATTATTAATGCCTTTTGTAATTTTTTATCAAAATAAGTATTTAACTAATTATATCGTAATAATTTTATATCCGAAAAAGTATTATTACTATATTTTTTCTTAATAAAATATTTCATATATAAAAATATTATTAATGAATTATCATAAATTTTTTTTTATAATTTTTATTATATTTTAAGTTTATATATTTTATATATTATAGTATTAATAAGTGTAAATATATTTTAAATATTATATTTTTAATTTACAACATAATAGATATTTTATCATTTTAAATTCACTTTTTAACAACAATACCAACCATTTAAATTTTAAGCTACATTTTTATATAACACTTTTAAAATTGCTTTTCTATAACAATTTTATAAATCACTTTTCAAATGCATTACCAAACTAACCCTAAGTGAGACCCGTTTTAACAGCCCAGTCAACGTATTATTGACAAACTATTTGATAGGATTAAAGTTGGATAATTATGAATTTTAGCTTTTCCTCTGAATGAAAATTGATAAAGTAATATCTTTATTTTAATTTATCAGAGTGTAGTTAACATTTATAAAAATGATCTAAATATTGGTAAATACATGGACTCAAATTTTTAAAAGAGTATATATTTTGATCATTTAATTAGTATAAAATTACAGTAACATATGCTTCGCAGCAAGCATATTCGATTTGAGCGTAATCACAAGAAACTAGAAAAATTAAAATCCCACACTTGAATTGGGAAACCCTTCATTTATTGTTTATTTGAATGTAGATATCTCTTATATGTGATGATACAGTTGTGGTGTTTAATTCAACTAGCAGTTTATTAATTAATCATCAGACCCCCTATTATTTAGTGTGACTTTTTAACAATATGGCATGTTTCTTTAATTAATATTTTAGGTAATTATGGTTTGAATAAAGTTATATTTTTAGAAAACTAATTCGAACGAGAGAATAATAATAAAGAGAATTCAAATTAGACGATCCAACATCTTAATACGTGAAGGCGTATAATTCTCAACGAATTTAAAGTAAGGTGATAGAGAAAATCACAAACAATTACAAAGTAAATATTCTTGAAAAACATAGTAAATTAATTACCCGCAAAGAGGGCTACGACTCGAAGGAATAACCACAAAGCTTGCAATAAACCAATTGATGACTTGATGTAGCTACAATCCCTTCTCTTATTAATCTTGGATTGAATCAAATAGTGGTTGAAATCATAAAGCATGTACAGAAATTGCTTCTGTTTTATTAAATAATTAGGGTTCTTTTAACTTGGCGCAAACATTCATATAGGTTGGAGGTGATATATGATGGTAAGGAAAGGGATGGGATGGAACGAATAGAGGTGGGGAGGAGACTTGAAGGTTTGAGGTGGAATCGAATATAATGAAGGACATAGAGGCTTACATATGCAATAAAGTTGAAATAAAGGAGATAGAGGAAAATGGAAAATTTAGATGACAAGTGGGTGATACGAAGTTTACTTGTAATACGTGGGAGGTGGAGGTGATTTGTAGACGTATGGACGAGGTGGGGGTGACTTGTACACATATGGAGACGGAGGTGGTGATTCATACTTGTATGGAGATGGTAGAGGTGACTTGTATACATATGAAGGAGGAGCCAGTGACTTGTATACATATGGAGGTCCTGATGATTCGTACTTGTATGGAGGAGGAGGAGGTTATTCATATTTGTATGGTGGAGGAAGGAGTGATTTGTACACATATGGAGGTGGAGGTAGTGATTCATGCTTGTATGGTGGAGGTGGTGGTGACTTGTATACATACAAAGGAGGAGGAGGTGATTTGTACTTGTATGGAGGAGACGGCGATGATTCATATTTGTATGGAGGAGGTGGGGGTGACTTGTACACATATGGAGGTGTAGGTGGTAATTCGTACTTGTATGGAGGAGGTGGTGGTGACTTGTACACGTATGAAGGAGGAGATGGTGATTTGTATATGTACGGAGGTGGTGGTGGTGTCTTGTATACATATGGAGGAGGAGGTGGTGATTTGTACTTGTATGGAGGAGGATGTAGTGATTCATATTTATATGAGGAAGGTGGGAGTGACTTGTACACATATGGAGGTGGAGTTGGTGATTCGTAGTTGTATGGAAGAGGTGGAGGTGACTTGTACACATATGGAAGAGGAGGTGGTGATTTGTATATGTATGGAGGTGGTGGTGGTGACTCATATTTGTACGGAGGTGGTGGTGGTGATTTGTACTTGTACGGAGGTGGAGGTGGTGACTCGTAATTGTATGGGGGAGGTGGTAGCGATTTGTTCTTGTACATAGAATGAGGTGGTTGGTCATACTTGTACGGAGGTGGGGGTGACTTGTATTTGTATAGAGGTGAAGGTGGAGTCTCATACTTGTACAGAGGTGAAGTTGGAGACTCATACTTGTACGGAGGTGGTGGTGGTGACTTGTACTGGTATGGAGGTGGAGGTGGTGACTCGTACTTGTACGGAGGAGGTGCTGGCGACTTGTATTTGTATGGAGCTGGAGGTGGGGACTCATACTTGTACGGAGGTGGTGGTGGTGACTTGTACTTGTATGGAGGCGGAGGTGGTGACTCGTACTTGTACGGAGGAAGAGATGGTGACTTGTACTTGTATGGAGGTGAAGGTGGTGACTCGTACTTGTACGGAGGAAGAGGTGGTGGCTTGTATTTGTATGGAGGTGGAGACTCATATTTGTAAGGAGGAAGAGGCGGTGACTCGTATTTGTACAGAGAAAATGGTGGTGACTTTACTTGTACGGAGGTGGAGGTGAAGACTCATACTTGTACGGAGACGGTGGTGGTGACTTATAAGTGTATGGTGACAGAGTTGATGACTGGTACTTATATAAAGGTGGAGGAGACCACTTGCATAGATATGGAGGAGGTGGTGATGATTCATACTTGTATGGAGCCGGCTCGCCGTCGGCAGCAACATTGCTTATTATCAAGCACACTGCCAAGGCATAAGATAGGTATGACCAAATCTTGGCCATTTTGAGGGAATAAAGCACAAAAACTCCCAACTTCTTCGCACTTTCTATACCATACGAATCGAAGACTATTTGTTATCATGTATTGTGAACTACAACGGAGAGCTTGAAGTTTATATACTAAGCTCTCCAATATGCTATACCATTTTAAATTGGTCCATATGAAACTTCCTCTACCCATCCAAATAATTTATTTCCATATGTCTATCAAATGTCAAATTAATTATTGAAAAGGAGTGTGACATCCCACTAACTCCTATACTGGATTGTACTCGAAATGTTCTCAACAAACTTCTTAAATTAAAAAATTGTTGAAATCTTCAACTAAATATATCATTTCATATCTCACAAAACAGATTAAGTGAAAAGGGTGCAATTGGGTGGATCTTTTCTTTTCTTCATGTCAGTGAAACTCATTTTCTTCAATCACAATTCTCTTGTTCTTCCTGTGATTGCTATTCGGGAAATGAAAGTAATAATTGCAAAATTAATCTTTGAATTTAGTTACTTTTTTCATTTTAGTCATCAAATTTTAAGCTTAATTATACAAAGTCATAAATACTTTATTTTAATTTTATGCATATTATTTTCTAACCCCATCCTAACCGCAACCATAGGCTATGGTGATACTAATATGACTCAATGTAAGACTATTTTTAGCCGTCCGTTTTCATTTCTATCATTTATTTATTATTATATCTCCTTTGATCACATTCTGCATATGGCAAAAGATTACAATATTTCAATGGTAGTATCATAATGTAACAAAGATGCCTTTTCCTTCTTTTCCTCTTTTCAATCGCATCTTAAATGTGTGTATATGTGTCCCATATGCATAAATCAATTATTAAATTATTTTGCATGATTTGAAGTTAGTAACCATGCCCATATCTATACCTTCAAATGCAAGTGTGGGCTCATTAGATATTGAAAAGATGATTATGTGAATTAGAAGCAAATACAAAGATTTATATGTGATCGAAATAATAAGGCCACAACCGTTTATATTACATTATTTCTTTATAAAATTATTGTTATTATTTTTTTTTAATTTTCCTCCCGGTTTCAAGAGATTTCACTCTGACTAATCCAGAACGATCCACGTCGCACACCTAATTTTATTACGTGAGTCTCTAGACAAGAATTTCTACATATACAATGACTCAAATCCGAAATCTTGCTTAAGTGTATAAAGCTGCTTATTAGTTGAACCAACCCGTGTGATATAATTAAATTCTAATTAATATCCCTTATTTATTTATTTCCCTATTTATCTCTCTCAAAGTCCCCTTCCAAACCGTTTACTACTTAGACCCATCAACCAACTGTTTTTTGCTCCTTATATCTTTCCAAAATTCTAAGCAAACCCCCCCCCCCCAACCATCACCATCGTCATCATCACCATGAACCCTCCTCTCCTAACCCTTTCTCTTTCACTTTATAAAACCCATTTCACAAAACCCTGTCAGTTATCAAAAAATGGAATAACCCACAAACATTACATAACCCATTTCACAAAACCCTCACTTGTATTTGATTTCCATGATGAGGAAGCCTAACAATGGTGGTGCAACCGCTACTACTAACAAGCTTAGGAAAGGGTTGTGGTCACCGGAGGAAGATGAGAAGCTCATCAACTATATGTTAACCAATGGTCAAGGTTGTTGGAGCAATGTAGCCAGAAATGCTGGCCTGCAAAGGTGTGGCAAGAGCTGCCGCCTTCGTTGGATCAATTACCTGAGACCGGTCTCAAACGAGGCGCCATATCGCCTCCGGAAGAAGAGCTTATCATCCATTTGCATTCCATTCTCGGCAGCAGGTCTGCCCTTCATCCCTATCCTGCATGCATGCTTAACTTTTAGAAGAACACTAACTTGGTCAAATTCGGGTTTTGGTCCCTTTATTATGCTCAACTTTGGTCCTTTACGTTCGGTATTTTAAGCGGAACAGTTAACTATTTTGACTAACCAATGAAATTATAACAATAGAGAGACTAAATTATGTCAAATTAAAGAATCCCAAATATGAATATAGTGGGGGGATTAGAATCACAATTTGACCAAATTTGAATGAGTGTGATATATGCTGTTCTGGAGTAATCATTATAGAAATGGTCTAATTGCTTTCTTCATTGGGCACTGCGTTTCAACCCTGTTTATGATTTCATTGACAAGATAAGAGGTTTTGAGCAGTCATCTTCATCATTATAGTCCCCTCACCCCCATATCAGAAAGGAAACATAAAGCAGTACTTCTTTTCATCTCTTTTAAATGTTAATTACAATTTTGGTCCTTGTACTATATTCAAATTCCTATATTTTTAATTTTGGTCCCTCTAATTTTGTGATTTGAGAATCACAAAAGAGTAGTACCAATGAAGAGATATCCTTGTTTGGTTAATTGCTTTGAAAATACTCTAGCCCTATGTACCAACCGTTTGAGTTGAAGATACTCAAACCCTAAAATTATACCATGCTTTTCGGCTTGTATAGAACTAAAGCATCCATGCATGAAAAACATTGACCCTTGTTTCCAATCTTTGTTGTTTCAAAGGTGGTCTCAAATTGCGGCTCGCCTCCCTGGTCGTACCGACAATGAAATCAAGAACTTTTGGAATTCAACGATAAAGAAAAGGATCAAGAAATCGTCATCGTCGTCCTCACGGAACGCAAGCGATTCATGGACGTCGAGCCCTAACAATGAATCCCAGACCGTCGGCGGGTTCTTGTCTGTGGAGGAACAACGGGTTCTGCCCATGTACGTCGATTTGTCCTCGACTTTGTCCAACTCTTCTTTGCAATCCACGGTCTTGAATGTTGAATCCCACTGGACCATTGTTCGGTGCCACCACCGGATACTTTGCGACTAAGGTTAAGTCGGTACAAATCGCGACTGTTTCTACGGAGAAAATGAGATATTCGGTAACGTCAACAATGTGGAGGAACTATATATCCCTCCTTTAGAAACCGTTGGAGAAAACCTTAAAGTCGAAAATACATTTGATAGCGACATCGTCACCGCCGCTGTGACCACCATCACCAACATTAACAACAACCCTTTTAGCATAAAATCAGAGAACATAACGGCCAGCCCGGCCATCGGGAATTTTTGGCTAGGAGAAGAGCTTAAAGTTGGAGAATGGGATTTAGAGGACTTGATGAAAGATGTTTCTTCCTTTCCGTTTCTCGACTTCAAAATTTGAATTATTAAACAGTTAGGTCAAGAAATTAAAACCCCATAATCCATTTCCAAACCTTAAACCCTGTCTCTTTGATAGTGAAGAAAACTACAAAAATCCTAGATTCCGTCAATACTTACAAAACCAGTAGGTTTTTTCTTTTCTTTTTTTTGAGTTTTGCCTCTCACGAAAACATTTGTACGAGGTTGTAGGATAGCTAAGTCTGGAATAATAGTGGGATAGTATTAAATTACTGTTGCAATTTAATATAGTAATAATCTCCTAACGATTTAAAGTCATCATAATATCAAATTACATCTATAATATAGAAATATTGAGATTTTTAGAATGTATGTTATCGGTCATGGACTTGGGCAAGGCAAGTAAAGTGGTCGTCTTTTTTGAAAATTTACAATTATCATGTAATTTAAATTTTTCTAGTTGAAATATATATTTGTCCCCTAAGATTTTATAAATTTAAGTTTACCTCTTAAAACTTTATAAATTCTAATTTACCATTTTAATATAAAATCTTACGTATATTCTCGTATAATACATAACATCCACACAAATATCGCGGATACAAATACAATTTAGATTTATAAATGTGTCATGAAAATCTTTGTAAGTAATTATTTTATTATCAACAATAAGTGTATTTTGATTTGATTTTAAATGTATTAAATAAGCCATGTAAACAGAGTCGTGAATAAATGCAGTATTTTATCTCTACAGTAACGTAGTTGGCATGTTTAATTGTTAATTTATTTTGATTACATATAGAAGTAAATAGATGATTACATGAAAATATAAATGAAAAATATATGCAAATAAATAATACTTTCCTCGATAAAAATTAAAATAGGACTAAAGGGAGTACATAAATTCTAAAACTTAAAGAATTTATCAAATGGATTGAGGGGAGTGTTGTTCTTCCTAGAGATATTGGGTTCGAATAGATACATTTGCAGTCAGAAAAATCTTAAAACTTTATTTTTTTTCTTTTAACTTATTTTCACCTAGTGATCACATCACGTACTTTTTAAATTTTGTTAGACAGAATTCAAATTACAAATTCTAATCTTTTATTTGAATTGATAAGTTGTATAATTTTTTAAAATAAATAGATAATTTTATTTATCCAGAAAACATATATGTATTCATGGACAACTAAAGCCAAGGCAAAAATGAATATAAGCTTGTGTAATTATAAGATTAATTTGACGTGGTCGTCGAAACTAACTAAATTGAATGTCATACCATAAGTCTCCATTATTATACTATATGATAGATAATATAAAACCTACATGAATAAATAATGTATACAAATTTATACAAATATTTTTGTATAGGATAAGTTGAATATAATTATTACATAAAACTAAATATTAATTTATTAAAATATATTTTGTATAGGATAAGTTGAATATAATTATTACATAAAATATAAACATAATATAAATATAAGGGTTTTTCTATTTTTTTATTTTCTTACATAGGATGATATTAATTTTCCATTCAAGACTAGAAAGAGATTTATTTATGTTATAAAGATTGCATTTTGACAGAAATATATAAAAAAAACAAATTAAAAATCGTGTTCTTGAATTTAAATTTTATTATAATCACTTATATCTAATATATTTAGTGATTAATATAGATCGTATACTATAAACTACAAAGGTTAATTATAATGATAATCCTTTCATCATAATTTATTTCATTCATAGTGTTATAATTTAACCGTCGATGTTACTTAAAAAATCTGATACCTTATCTTATTAAAAAAACAAATAATTATAACACGAAATTCGTTAATAGTCACC